CAACTTCGCGTTAGTGGTGAAGGAGACAGTGCTGATGTACGACACATTGACCTCCTTCCCACTTCTTTTCCTGCAAAATATATGGGGCATTGCGTTGCTGGCCACTGCCGCTGCGTACCACATGCCATTTCTTGTCCTCCTCTTTGCATCCCTCCTGCTCTTCACGCTGCACTTCATTCTGTCGGTCAAGCAGTACGTCAAATCGCGCCGTCTTTGGATACACCATGACGATATAAGGGGGGGAAAAGGCCAATTTTCTTTCTTGTGCGATTGGTGCACGCTGTGGACTTCACTGGAGCATTGCGTTTGCAGCGTCCATCGCCAAACCCCAACGGAAACAGAAGACCGACGAGGATGCTACCCGATGACAGCGGTGAGCGGTGACAGGCAAGATGGACGCACATGCGGGGTGTCCGCGTGGCAAGCTCATGGGACCAACGGGGATGAGGCGCCGTATTCGTCTTTATCTACAGATATGGGCATTGAGGGACGGGAGCAGAATGGCGTCTATTGGCCAGCAAGTGTCAGCATGTAAGTAATTAGAATAAAACTAAATGTAAAAAAAAAGAAAACAAATACGTGGGAAACCGTCTTTGCCGTTGATGACAAGGACTTATACCTCCACGACGCGATAATGGAAGGTTATTGCACATCATTCCTTAATTATAAACCTTCGCAGGTTGATGATGATGCTTTTTGGACGGTGTTTGGAGGATCCGTTCTGATCTTTTTGAGTCAGAAGATTACATGCTTATTTCCTGTTTTTTTTTTTTTTTTGTCTTTTGGTAATATTGCTTGCTTTCACATCACTTCTTGTTAGGCTTTGTCGTCATGTGGGGGTCGTGGCTGGATCAGATACAGAAGAGGCTCGACGACGTCTCCGGACTTGCGGAGCAAGCGATAACCTTGGGCGGAGGCGACGAAGAGGAGGAGGAAGAGGAGGATGAAGGGAAGGAGACAGAAAAAGTGGGAAAAGTGCAGGTTACGAGAGGTGGCCGCAGCACCTCTCCTCAGCCGTCACCGGAACCCAAACTGCAACAGGGAACGCACGGCACAACTTTTCCCATTCATGCGGATGATACGGTGGATCGGTACTCGCTTCCACATGAGGGAGTGGCGCTGGCAGCAGCTGCGGCATCCATGCCGTTTCAGACGAAGAACGCTTCGTGCTTCGTGCCGGCCACAGCGACAGAAGAACTGACCGGCTCCGCCGTGATGACGGCTGTTGGGGGCACTGAAAAGGAGCCACTTCCGGTTGTGGGATTGCCGGTGCGATTGGTGGAGTCTCTGGAGGCTCACGCAGCTCCCACAATGCCGGAAACAGTAGTGGAAGTCGCAGCGGCGGCGCCAAAGCTAACTACGGAGGCAACCACTCCCGCAGCTGTGGCTTCCACAGGTATTGATGCCATTGCTCAGGATGAAGCGGCACCGCATCCCTATAGCTGTCAACAGAGCCTATTGGCAGGTGACGGGAACGAGGAACAGCTGCTTCGGTTCCAGCAGGTGCTAGCAGAGGAACTGGAGGTGTCACGACTCCTGCGGGAGGAGAAGTGCTGCCTTCAAGACCGCATAGGGACACTGGAAAAGGAACTGAGGGATCTTCGTCTATTTAAGAAGAACGCTCTTCTCGCTGACCCGAAGAAGTTGGAAGCCTTGGAGCGGGAAGGCATGGAGCTCTCCACAAAATTGGGGAATGAGCGCGAGCGGTACAAGTTGCTCTATGAGAAGAAGACACAACTTGAGAGCCGCGTGGAGACGCTGGAGAAGAAACTTGCCCAGTGCGCGTTGAAAGAAGAGGAGTTTCAACAAAGTATAGCGGCAAGCCACACCGACTGCGAGGCAGCGAAACAGCATGCGGAGGAGCTTCGTGTATTTGTAGAAGTGCAGGAGAGTAAATTACAGCAACTGCAGCGGCAGCTGACGAGCGCAAAACAGAGTCACGCGGAACTCGTGGTAGAACACGAGAAGGAGCTCGCACAGCAAAAGGCGGAGCTGATCTTTCAGAGGGAAAGTATGTCAGGCGCACTGGTCTCGTTGCAGCGGGAGAAGGAGGCTATTGCGTCGTCATTGCAACGGACCCAGATGGAGTACGAGCGGCGAATTCAGGAGCTGGAAAACAAACTTCTTCAGGCGAATCGTCGTGCCGATCAGGCGGAATTGCGGCTCACGGATCATGAGCGTTCCGTCCTGGCGCCCCTTCGGGAGCTTCGAGCCGCGCTGGATGACGTGGAGCGGCAGAAGAGGCTGCTGATGGAAGAGGTCGAGTACTGGAAAGGGGAGTGCTCCGCGGCGGAGCGGAGTCGGGAGTCCGAGAAGAAGCATTTCACACAGCGACTGGCGGATGCGCAGAGTGAAGTGCAGGTGGCGCACGATGAAAGGCTCGCCGCCGAACAGGAGCTGCAGGAGTGTAGGGGAAAGCATTCACAGGTTCACAAGGCCCTGGAGAGGGCTCTTGAACGTGCCTCCGATGCAGAAGCGAAGAAGGAGCAACTCTCCATTGCTTTAGAAGAGGTGGTACGGCGGATGGAGGACGCTGGCAGCAGTAACAACAACAGCAGCACGCCCAACTCCATTTCACACGCGGGAGTTGGGGAAATGACACGGCATTCACCAATTTCCATTGAGGGAGGTGCTAACAGCACACGGGTTCCATTGTTTCAGGTGGAGACTACCGAGTCGGTGGGTGACGTCTGCCGCGGCAGCCGCAGTCGTGCGGAACGAGAATTGGTGCGACAGGCCGTTGAGATTGAGCGACTTCGCCGCGTAGAGGAGGAGGGTGCAGAGGCGAAGCGAAAACTCTTGGCTCTCGCCGCCCAACATGATCTTCTTATGCAGATGTATGGGGAACTGCAGGAGGAGCTTCAGAAGAGCCAGCTGGAACGGCCATCAAAGTAATTGGCGCTTGAAATACCGTTGATATCCGCATGGTGGCGCGCTTACGGTCTTTTTTTTTTCTTTCTCTCCTATCCACTTGCTTGGTTTTTATTTCTTTCAAGGCCCTTGACGCAAGGCGGCAGAAAGGAAGGGGTGGATGTGGTGATAAAAAGAGGATGCGTGTCAGTTTGCATTTTTACTTTACTTTGTTAATGGTTGCAAGAGGGGCTTGCGCGTGTGTATGTGTTTCTGTGTTGGTGCCGATGGCATTTCTTGCATTTTTTTGTTTCTTTTTTTTTGGGCTTCTTTCCTTTTCTTTTTTTACTTTTTTTAAAAAAACTCTCCGGCCTGCTGCGGCAGAATCAGCGGTCAGGCACTGGCTTTCGGTGTCTTGCTTCTGATCCAGGCGTGTGGGGCAATCTCGCTTGGGGTCGCTTTCGTATGGCTGCTTCGCACTCTGTGTGCCACGCGTCTGGGGGCTGCCGCGACGCCCTGCCGCCGTGGTGGGGCATCGTCTCTTCCTCCTGCCGCCGACGTTGTGGTGGGCTCTGTTTTCTTCATGACGCGTGTGCAGCACGCACAGGCCTCGAAGCGGCGCTCAACGCAACAGCAGCAGGAGTTCGTTGGCCTCGTGGATGAGTTGCTCCTGCTGCGCCATGGGGAGCGGCTGGACCATGTGGATCGGGCATGGAGGGCCACCTCGCTGCTTCCAGAGGCCGATCCCCCACTCTCTGCTGCCGGTCGACGGCAGGCCCTTGAGACGGGGCTCATGTTTTTGCAGAAGCGAAAGCACAGGAAGGTGCGGCAGCGGGCGTTGGGGATGCTTTCGCTGCTGCTTATCTCCCCCTTTCACCGCTGCATTGAGACCGCCCTTATTGTGAACATCGTTGGCTTCGATGGGAAGCTTGCCATGTTTATCGATCCCCTGTTGTCCGAGTGGCACTCTACAAAGTTGTTCTCCCGTCCGCCGAGGTTGGGTGGTAGCTACATGTTCACCAGAGAAATGATCACCTTCCGGCCACAGTGGGAGGCGTTGGGTTCTTCTTTGTGGACGTTTTTTCGTTCCGCTGGGAATGGCACGGAGTACGGCATTGATGATGTTATGACCACGCGATGGCTCTCTGTACTTGAAACACAATACGCACAGAATCCTTCCTTTCTTGTATGGACCTCCGTGTTAATGCAGGAGTCGTTGCGTCGGAATTTGCACTCGGAGGGTGGTGTGGTGCAGCGCGTTTTGGGCGGCGCCAGTCGCAGTGACCTCAGCTGTATCAACTACCCAGAGAACAAGAAACACATGCTGCGTCGTGTCGGGGAGGCTGTGGAACTGCGCTTTGACGCCAATGCAGGGGAGACTGCTGGCGTGCCCGCGTGTGTCAAGGCGGCCGAAGAGCAGGAGGCGAAATATCTCCCTCGCCGATTCACACATCGACCAAGGATGGCGTCAGCAGGAGAAGCGACAAGTGAAGAACGTGCGGTGCTGTTGCCTCCCGCCCGTATTATGATGGTGACACATGCGGAGGTGGTGGCCATGGCACTGAAGCATTGCTGCCCCAAGCACCACAGCCTGGACAGCCGGTTTTCTGTTCCGTACTGCAGTCTCACGTCTCTGTCGCGCGTGAATGATTACTACTGCGTCCTCGACGACGGGGCGCCGGATGCGCGGGGGCCTCGAAGGGCATCCGAGAAGTCCTGGTGTGTGGGGACGGTGGGGTCAACTGCACATCTGCAGACAACCATTCTCCTCCGTTAGAAGTGGACGGGCCGAATGACGGCACCACACGTGCAACAACAAGAGAAAAAGAAAGGTAGAAGGAAGAGAGGGTCACCAGGGCGTGCGTACGTGTCATGCATTCTTCACAAAGGAAGTAGAGAAACAAAATGCAAGAACAAATGGGCTTCAGCAACGTGAGTCTGGTATTCTCCACCCCTTTCTGAATGAAAGAAACTGACCAATATCCCCGCAGCGCGAGCCATGAGGGGCCTCTTCTGCATCATGTGCTGTTTGAAAGGGAAGGAGACATGCTTTTTTTTCGGCCTTATTTTTTCTTTTTCTATCATCATGGTTTTACTCAAGTGTCAGTTTATTTATTGCTTTTGATCCAGCAGAGCCTTTGTTGAAAGATATGCCCCAGAGGAACGTGTGTCAGCAATGCAAAGCGTACGACGAAGGCGCCGAGGACCCCCAGGACGGGCGGTTTTATTGCAATTCCTGCTGGGCGGCCTACAACGGTTTCAGCGGTGACACCAAGAATGGTGCGACGAAGGGCGGTCGCCGTGGTGACAAGGAAAAGAAGGTGCGGGCGCCACGTCGAAAAGAGCCCGCGGCCATGAACAATTTGGGCCACGATGCCCAGGGCGTCCTTCGTCGACTGGAGGGCATGTACGCAAGCTGCTCGCATAAAAGACGCCCTGAAACCCTGGCGACGAGTCTTCTGGAGGACGTGTCGATGGTCATGGCCGACACGGACAGGCAACAGCGCGCGAGTTCGTTTGTTGGACAGTTCATGCAGCGGCAGCGGACCATCACGGTGGTGTCTCACTTGGGTGAGCCCCTCTCGCCTCGTGGCGATCGTGTAGGATGTGTGGGGCGCTCCGCATACCAGGAGAGTCGCAAAGTGCCGCTGGACATTTTGCTCTCCAGCGTGGACGATATCGTCTCACAAATATATGTTAACTTTGATGAGAGCATGACGCAAGTCATCCTGAATGCCCTTGACAGGGTGACAACGTGCGATACACAGAACCAGCGGGACGCCATGCGGGTGCGTGTCATTGACGAACTTCTGGAGACCCTTGGCGACGAACACTACGATCTCCTCCAGTGTGTCATGCACCGACCACGTGACATCTTTCTTCGTCTTCTGGAGGAGTTCTGCACTCTTGAGGACGACGATGACAATACGGGTGCCGGGAACACATCTGCCGCGTCACCACAACACGCACTAACCGTTCGTTTTGTGAAGACAGCAAAGCAACGTTCAGCCATGCGGGAGGTGGTGTTTGCCCACAATGGTGAGGCGACGGACCAACGTTGGCTGGCTCACATGACGCAGCGGTATCGACAGCTTATGCGAGAGTCGGACTTGGATCAGTTATTTAAGCGTGATCTCAGCGTCATTGGTTCCTCCATGCCGAGTGGTGCCACCGTTGTGCAGAAGAAGGACCACATCCGTATTCACGTCCCTCCACCCACCCAGAAGGTGATGCCCATGACTGAACGTGTGTGTGTTGCCACATCCCTGCCGGAGTGGACACATGCGGCCTTTCAAACCGTAACGCACCTCAACGCCATCCAGACCACTCTCTTTCGAACGGCTTTTTACACGTCGCAGAACATGCTTGTGTGCGCGCCGACGGGTGCGGGCAAGACTGTGTGTGCCCTTTTGGTGATGCTGCGCTGCATTCAGGAACACTTTGTGGAGGGGACTCTGAATCGGGAATTTAAAATCATATTTGTTGCGCCCATGAAAGCACTTGCACAAGAGATGGTAGAGAACTTTTCACGCCGTTTGGCGCCCTTTGCAATGGTGGTGCGGGAGCTCACGGGCGACATGCAACTCACTAAACGAGAGGTTGCCCAGACGCAGGTCATTGTGACAACGCCAGAGAAGTGGGATGTCATTACACGTAAGCAAAGCAACGAGGACCTCGTGCAACAGGTTCGGCTGATCATCATCGACGAGATCCACCTTTTAAATGAAGACCGCGGCCCGGTTCTGGAGGCCATTGTTGCCAGGACGCTGCGCCAGGATGAGCTCCACGCAGACCAACAACGGCCGACGCGCCTTGTAGGTCTCTCCGCGACGCTGCCAAACTACAAGGACGTGGCAAATTTCTTACATGTTGATCTTGAGGAGGGTTTGAAGGTATTTGGTCCCGAATACCGCCCAGTACCACTGGAACAGACATTTCTCGGCCTGCACACCGGTGCAAAAGACAAGGAACATCAGCTGGATTGGCTTGCGTACACCGAGGTGGCACGAAACGTGCGGGAGGGACATCAAGTAATGGTCTTTGTACACTCGCGGAAGCAAACGGTTGGTCTTGCCAAGTACTTTGTCGAGGAGGCAACGAAACACGATCAGGGCAATCTCTTTAAGCCGAGCGGCAAGTTGCCAACGGAGGCGGTGAAGCGGGGCGGCAGTCTTCAAGGTCGCGAATTGACAAATCTGTTTTCGTCCGGTTTTGGTGTTCACCACGCCGGCCTCATTCGGCATGACCGCACCACAACGGAGGGCTTATTCCGCGATGGGTTCATAAAGGTGCTTGTCTGCACCAGCACGCTTGCGTGGGGTGTGAATCTGCCGGCACACACCGTTATTATCCGTGGGACACATCTGTACGACCCAAGGCGTGGGGGTCTCGTTCCCATCTCTGTCCTCGACGTGATGCAGATCTTTGGCCGTGCGGGTCGACCGCAGTATGATACAAGTGGCCACGGCATCATCGTGTCGGACGAGAAAGACGTGGGACATTATCTCCGTCTGCTGGCCAATGCTCTTCCCATTGAAAGTCAGCTGCAGAAAACGCTTGCTGACCACCTTAACGCGGAAATTCACGCAGGGACAATTTCCTCCATTGTCGAAGGCTCTCGGTGGCTGGAGTACACTTACATGTGGCAGCGATTGCGGGTAAATCCGCTCCTGTACGGATTGAAAATAGCAGACGTCCGTCGCGACCCGAAACTGAAAACCGTGCGATACGAACTTGTCAGTAAGGTTGCGGAGGAGCTGGCCAATGCCGGCATGATTCGCTACAATCCACAAACGGGTGCAGTGGATACCACAGAACTAGGGCGCATCGCAAGCCACTATTATATTTCACATGAGTCTATCGCGACGTTTAACCAAAAAATGCGAAGGCCGGATGAGACGTGGATTGATAGCCTTGACATTGGTTCTGCCATGAATGTAATTGCATCCGCAAGTGAGTTTTCTCAGTTGCGTGTACGGCAGGAGGAGCTTGACGAGTTGCAAAAGATACATGCCATGTTACCAAAGAAGGTGCAGCGGTACGCGATTGTCGGTGAGAGCGCCGACGAGACTAGTGTCGAGTGGAAAGTGACGACGCTTATGAAGGCGTACATTAGTCGGATTCACGTTGAAATGCATTCTTTGGCCTCGGACGTCAATTATGTGATGCAAAATGCACCTCGTATTTCACGGGCGCTTTTTGAGATTGGGGTTCAGCGCGGTCGTCCACTGACCACCACCGTCTTTCTGACACTTTGTAAATGCATGGAGCAACGTTGCTGGGAGTTTGAACATCCCTTGAAGCAGTTCAGTCTGGACTTTACAGATGCTGTCCAGAGTCATCTTGACAAGAAGCGACCAAGCATGATGCTTCTACAGGAGATGACGGCACGCGAGATTGGATCTTTGGTTCATAATCAGCGCATGGGTGGTGTGATTGCTGGTTTGGTGGCGACATTTCCCTCCGTGAGGTTAAACATTGACGTGCAGCCCATCACCCACACAATTCTTCGTGTGAAGGTAACAATCACCTCGACATTCACCTGGAATAGCCGCTACCACGGCTCCTCGGAGCTCTTCTGGTTGTTCGTGGAGGACCAGGACAACAATTTTATTTTCCACCACGAGGCAGTCTCGCTAAAGCGGAAGGAGGTGGAGATGGGCGTGCCTGTCGTCGTAGACCTTTCGGTGCCAATTGTTCCCGAGTACGACATGTACTCTGTGCGTTTTTACAGCGACCGTTGGCTTGGCAGCCAGGAGGATTTTACTTTCTCCGTGGCACACTTGCATCTACCAGACGATACGCAATTAACAACGCGGCTGTTACCTCTTGCACCTCTCCGTCGTGAAGTGATCCCGGAGGCCTACCATGCCATTTACAAGGGGTTTCCGCAGCTCAATGCGGTGCAAACACAAGTGTTTCACGCTATGTTTCACACGGACAGCAGTATTTTTCTCGGCGCACCGACTGGTAGTGGCAAGACGGTGGCAGCTGAGATGGCGATGCTGCGCGTGTTTGAGCAATGCCCTCCCGGGTCGAAGATTGTGTACATTGCACCACTGAAGGCACTCGTGAAGGAGCGGGTGAAGGACTGGACGGCAAGATTTGATCGGCATCTCGGTCGACGTGTGTTGGAGCTTTCTGGCGACGTCAACCCCGACATTGCCGCCTTGGTACGGGCGGACATTTTGTGCACGACACCGGAGAAGTGGGATGGCCTCTCGCGTAGTTGGCAGGTGCGCCGCTACGTGACGGCGGTGCGGCTTGTGATCTTTGACGAAATTCACATGCTTGGCTCCGACCGCGGCCCCATCCTCGAGGTGATTGTGAGTCGCATGCGCTACATTGGCTGGCATCGTCAGGCACCCATCCGTCTTGTTGGTCTGTCGACTGCGGTCGCGAACCCGGCCGATCTTAGTTCGTGGCTTGGCGTGCAAGAGAAGTGGGCCATTTTTAACTTTGACCCTTCCGTGCGGCCGGTGCCGATGCGTGTGTACATTTCCGGTCACCACGGCAGAAATTACTGTCCTCGCATGGCAGCCATGAACAAGCCAATGTATAATGCTATATGTGAGAAGAGCCCCAACAAGCCTGTGATTGTGTTTGTTTCGTCACGGCGGCAGACACGACTGACGGCAATGGCCCTCATTGGTTTTCTGTTGATGGAGCAAAACACCGCCAAGTTTGTGCGCATGGATGTAGATGAGGTCACCGCACTTACCGAGAAAGTTAGCGATCCCTACGTCAAACACTGCATGCAGTTTGGCGTTGGCATTCATCACGCCGGGTTGTTAGGGGAGGACCGCACAGTGGTGGAGAACGCATTTCTTTCAGGAAAGCTGCAGATTCTGGTGGCGACTTCGACTCTTGCGTGGGGCGTTAATTTTCCCGCACACATGGTGGTGGTGAAGGGCACGGAGTATTACGATGGGAGGACCAAAAATTACGTGGACTACCCCATCACAGACGTGCTGCAGATGGTTGGTCGGGCGGGTCGTCCGCAGTTCGATACAGAAGGGGTTGCACAGGTGTTGTGCCACGAGCCCAAAAAGGGTTTCTACCGCAAGTTTCTCTACGATCCCTTTCCGGTTGAGAGTACGCTACACAAACAGTTGCATGTACACATCAATGCTGAAATTGTTGCCGGGACCATCACGACACGACAGGATGCCGTGGACTATCTGACGTGGACGTATCTTTTTCGCCGGCTTGTGAAGAACCCGTCGTACTACGGCGTGGAGGACCGCTCGCCAAAGGCGGTTACAATTTTTATCTCCACACTTGTTGCCAACGTTTTAGACGAACTTGAAGCCTGTGGCTGCATTGCGTCACCCGGAGATGACGAGGAGGACGATTTGAGTCGTAAAGTGACTGGAATGAGTGCTGTTGGCAGCATTGATGATGAAAAGGACCCGGACGCTTTGACGTGTACTGTCCTCGGCAGGCTATGCTCATACTACTATCTCTCACACAAGACCGTCCGTTACTTTGATTTACACATTGAGGCGGACAGCTCCCACGTGGATGTCCTGAAGGCGTTGTGTGAGGCGGAGGAGTTTAATGAGTTGCCTGTGCGGCACAATGAGGACAAACTTAATCTGGTGCTCAGCCAATCATTGCCATTTCCTATTAATCCAAACAACGCGGAATCCCCACATGTGAAGGCGTTTCTGCTCTTTCAGGCGCACTTTGAGCGGGCTAGTTTGCCCATTTCAGACTACCACACGGATCTGAAGTCCGCACTTGACAATGCCGTGCGTATCGTGCAGGCGATGGTCGACATCACATCAAATAACGGGCATCTGTACGCTGCGCTGCGATGCATGTCGTTGCTTCAGTGCATGGTGCAAGGCATTTGGTGGCACTCCAGCACCCTGCTTCAGATACCACACGTCACGGCGGGAATGTTACCAATGATTGCTTCACGCTGCGGTAACCTTGAGCACGCGGCGCAGGTTGCAAATAGTTCCATCACCGCGCTGCAAACATTAAAAGCGGTGCTCCGCGAAGACTGTGGCCTGAGTGAGACGCAGCTGCGCGAGGCGATGGCGGCCATACAAGGGTTTCCTCTCATTGATGTGCGACTCTGTCTCTCCCGCACCCCCGACCGAACCTCCAGCAGCGGGGACGCGGAGCACTCGTTTGATGGATCAGAAACAGCCGCCGATGTGGCCTACACACTGACGGTGCACCTTACACGTCTTTCTGTTCATAACAAACATGTCGTCGCCCCGCACTTCACGAAACCAAAGGATGAGCAGTATTGGCTAGTGGTGGGCAACGAGAAAACGGGTGAGTTAATCGCCTTGAAGCGCGTGAACCGGCTTGTGAATTGTGTGGAGATGACGTTGAATTTTGAGTGGGACGACGAGTGGGCCGAGTTTGCAGAGGGCGGCACGGTGGCTCTCAGTCTGTACGTCGTGTGTGACTCGTACGTTGGGCTCGACCAGCAGTACAACTTCAGCGTGCCAGTGCCCGTGGGCATGTGACATGACGAGGAGTAAAAAAGGGTGAAGGAGAAGGAAAAAAGAAAAGAAGGTGTTTTGGAACAGTTGGGGAATGGACTCGAAGGAAGGAGGCGTGTGTGTGTGTACGGATAGGAATAAACCGGAGCGAGGGAAAGCGGGGGGAAAAGACACGAAGGCTGCACGAGTAAAAGTGGTGGCATGGCGATGGTGGAGGAAAAAAAATAAATAAATAAATTACTGTTTTTGCGGCCATCCATGATGCGGCGTGTTTTGAATTACTTTTTGCACACCCAATTTTTCGGCCTCTTATTTTTTTATTTTTTCTTCGTTTCTGTTGGCTTCGATTTATTACTTCACATCATCGCCACCACAAACAAACACGCACAAACACAAACGCAGTTCTGCTGTCGTGTGCTTCTCTCATTCCCCCCGTTGCAGCAGGCAGTAACAGCGGCGGCAATGAGCGCTGCCCCAATAATCACCGGGCGTTGTTTTTGGGGCAGACGGACGACGCCCAATGGCCCACTGGTATACACCGCTGTCGGCTCTCACAAGGGGAGTGATGACCGCCGGAGGACACCGATCAGTTTTATCGGAAACACGTACTATGAGCGGCGCTTCGGGGGTTCGAGGTCAACCCAAAGTACACCACTTGGCACCTCGTTGGCACTGCCGTCACTCCGCAACGGGGACATTCTTGTGAAGATGGGCTCTGCCACACCGGCGTCGTTGCGTGGCCGTCGCATTGTTGACGTGACGGGTATACAGACAAGTTTCTTTGATGCCTCAGAAAGAAACGCCCGTGCGCGTTGTTGCATCGACGACGTTGTGCATTCGATGCATATGCACGACGGCCACGAGGTGCCGGAGTTGAACCGTGGCACTGTTGACATTGGCAGGCTCACCGTGTTGTGTGCATTTCCCGTTGCCGGCACGGCTTCTCTGCTCGTGCTGGAGAATGCCTCGCAAGCTTTGTTGAAGCGGCGGTCATTGGGGTACCGCAGCGAGGAGGAGGGCGTGCAGCTTGTGCGGGTTATCGCAGAGAGTTGCCGTGCCGCTGCGTTACGCAGGATTTGTCTCCATCCCGTCATGCGCAACGATTGCATTGTTGGTGTCCGTCTGTAGCGGGGCACCGAACGGGGTGTGAATATTGAAGTGGGTGCGGTATATATATATATATATATATATATATATATATATATATATATGTGGGAAGTGGCGTTTGTGTTTTTCTCGTCTCCAAACCCGGTTTTGAGGGACGATAGGCCGTTGCTGCTTTTTTTTTTATTTGTTCTTTTTTTTTTTTTTCCTGGTGTGTTTGTGCGGGAGGGAGTGACACGGCAATGCCGAGCGGACCCAAGTCCAATAAATATGTGAACCGCCACGCCGCGGAGGCCCGCGAGCGCGATCAGGAGCGCCAGGCGAACGCGAAGGCTGCGCGGGAGAAGGATAGGGAGGACGCCATGTGGACGGAGGACGATCCAAAACAGCTGAAGAAGCAGGAGAAACAGCGTGAAACGGAGGAGAAGATGCGGAGGCAAGCCGAGCTGAAGGCGGAGCGGAAGGAGCAACTGGAGCAGGAGGAGCGGGAGTTGGGCCAAAAGGTGCCGCAGAAAGTGACAAGGCGGCAGCTGCAGAAGGATCTATCCAAGATGCTTAGCGACTACGATAAGCTTAAGGAGAAGGAGCGGCAGCAGCAGCCCGGGGCTCTTGTCAAGGACGTGGGTGCTGCGCTGCCGGAGAGTAACCCGAACAGGATGGCGAGGAAAGATGACAGAAACAACAGCAGCAACGAAATCAAAGCAACTGGTGGCGTCAGTGACGCGCTTTCGGCGTTGCAGTCTGGCATGGGAACGGGCGGTGCGTCTGTGCCGGAGGATCGCCACATTGGCAGGCGCGCACGCGTTCTTTACAAGAAATTCTGTGAAGAGCACCTTTCCAGGCTGCGTGAGGAGAAGCCCGGGCTGCGCCGTCCGCAGTACAACGACCTGCTGTGGGAGATGTGGCAGAAGAGTGAAATGAACCCCTTCGTGCAGCGCAGCGAACAGCGGTCCAGGGAGCGCCTTGAACAGGAGCGCCGATGGATGGAAGGGGAGGATGACGACGAGAGCGATGGCGGTAACGAGGCGGAGAAGGAGTAGGGGAAGAGCGTCTAGAGGAGTGGAAAGGGGGGGGGGAAGAAGCAACAACTCGAAAAACAAACAGCGAAATGAAGAAATGCAACATTAACGAAATGACAAGTACTATGGGTGGGGACGGCACAGGCTCAATGAGTTTTAACGCACACACACAAACACACACAAGTGAAAAATGGCTGGTGGCTGCTCACTTGATATTCCCCTTTTCCTCCTTTTTTTTTTTTTTTTTTTCTTATGAGAGGACGATCGCATCGTCAGTTACGCACTTGTGTTGGAACGTCACACACCGCCACACACACACACACACACACGTCTACTTTGATTCGCATTTGCCGCAATGCCGCCTAGGCTGGCGTCTAAAGTTGGCCGTGCCGGCCGCCGAGGGATGACGTCGGCGGGCATCACGCGGCGCAGAAGCGGTCCAACGCCTGGCGAGATTGTCGCCGCCACCTTCGCCAACGTTGAGTTGAGCTTCACGAAGGCCTCTATGGCCGAGTACTCGAAGCGCTGTGAAAGAATGTCACGGGAGAACGAGTTGCTGCGGCATCAGCTAGAGGAGCATGAGTCTGACTCCATCAAGGTGGTGCAGCACCTCAAGGAGAAGCTTCAGTGCGCGGAGAAGGAGGTGACGGAGCAGCGGAGTGAGATTGAGCGGCTGCTCGCGGAGAGTGCGGATGCGGAAGAGGATCTGCGATGCCAGTACGAGCGTATATTAGAGGAGCGCGATGAGCAGATTGTGCAGTACGCCACCATTGTTCAGCGGCTGCAGTCAGACCTGAAGGGAGCCGCCCAGCATGTGCATAAGCGGGAGATCCATCAGCTTGAGCTGAAGCGGCTACATGACGAGATTGAAGAAATGCGGACGCGTCACGACTGTGAACTTGCCGCGCTGCGTTTTCAGACCGTCGACCGTAAGATGCGGCTTGTGGCGCTGGAAGAAACGATGCGGGAGAGGTTTCAGGCGCAGGTGGAGAAGGAGTCAGAGAGGCTGCTGGAAGCAAAGTCCAAGGCGCTGCTAGAAGACCATGAGTCGCTGCAGTGCGAGCGGGTTCGGCTCACACAAGACCTGGAGGAACTCGTGCAGCTTGCAACGGTGAAGAACATGGAGTGTGCCGACGTACGGCGGAAGGGGGAGCTACACCAGCGTGCCTGCGAGGAGGCACTGCGACGCATCGTACTGGGCAATCGTCGTGCACGGGATTCTGAGGCAAAAACGCAACGACTGGAGCGGCGTGTGAAGGAGTTGCTGCGGGAGAAGAATGAGATGCGTGAAGAGCTCTCGCGCCGGTACGAGACGCAGATCCATGAACTAGAGAAGACACTTGCCGAGACACAGAACTCGCTGCAGTGCCACCGTAACGAGCTGCAGCGCCTGCGCCGCATCGCATCGACCATCGTGGGTCAGCGGTCCGATCTTGAGAGATTTTTTTACGTGGCGCTCGACGATGTGCGACGGATGCGCTCAAAGGCGCCCCGGCGGAAACAGGTGGCATCGCCGGTGCAGCTACCCTCTCTTGCCGCCGACAACAACGGCAACGTTGCCTACACTGGGGCCAACCCACGCCACTCACAGCAGCAACAACAGCAACAGGCCTCACCGCTGATTTTAGAGGCTTTGCCCTCCTCTTTGGCGACGAAAGGCGGCCCCACGTTTTTAACGGAATCCCCGGCGAGTGCGAAGGGCAATTTTAACACGCCCGCCGCGTCGACCGTCAATACCGTGCCGTCATCCATACCCGCCCTCTCTCCAACAGGGCCCTCTTCTTCTGTGACTCTGCCGTCACCGCCCCCTGGCGCGGCACCGGGGCGTCGGTGTGGCGGCAGTGCAAGGCCGACGCGAGATGCCGGTAATAGCAACAACAACGTTCTGCTTATAAATCTCGGTGAAAACGGCGAGGGGGCGTACCTGAACGACTTGTCGTGGGAAGACAAGGAAAAGATTATTAAGGCGCTTCTCTTCTTTATCAATCAGACGTGTTACCAGAAGTTGCCAGGAAGTCAGCCAGTGAACAGTGAGGCGACGCTCATGGAGACTTAGGCATCACTGCCCGCGTTGGGCAGCCTGATGGATGTATTGTATTTACTCTCTCTCCCTCTTTTTTTTTTTTTTTTCTTTTTCCCCTTCTTTTTTCTGAAGTTTATGCCATTGATGGGATTGTTTCCTGCCCTCCCTCTCTTAGTGGTGACGTGCGTTTGGTGGTGAGGAAGAAAAAATACTAATAATGCACACAAAAGAAAAGGACAGCATGAACCGGGAGGAAAAAGAGGGAGACAATCACGAGAGCCAACCAAAGAAAATAATCCAGAGGCGCACAAGGCAATCATCATATATACATGTATGTATGACCGTTGTGCGCAAGCAGGAGGGGGGTGAAAACAGAGAGTGGAGTAGGGGATATGGAGGTGGAAATGAAAAGGAAAAAAAAAGACAAGAAAATAAATATATATTTTATTGATGCAACTCATCTTTGGCACGGATGCCTTTGTTATTTTTGTTCTTAATCTTATGTGTCGTGTATGCAATGTATTATATATATATATATTGACAGATATTTGAAGTTCTTTTTGTGTGTAATACGTATTGTCATGTCTTGTGTGTTTTAAAGGGAAGTATGAGCGGTTTCTATTACACATGTGTATATATTGTGCATGTGAATTACTTTTTTCTGCAGCAATACACATGCAAAATACTTCTGTATTACCAATGGAATCAAACGCCGGTGCACCAGATATTCCACGATGGCTCTAATATGTATTGAAAGGAACTATGTATGTGTCTCATTACATGGCTATTGCCTGTAAAACAAACATATATTATATAATATATGTTTACAGCTTCTAATATATTTTTTTTTTTCTGTTATTGCTTTTCCTTCTTTCCTTTTTTAAAAAAATACTTTCACCGGTGAAGAGAAGAAGATGAATTTTGAGGATCCCTTTGCAGATGACTTGCAGTCCCTTGATGCCGTTATGGCGCAGCTTGCTGCTGAGCAGGGTCGTCGGTCACGTCCACCACCACCGGAGAGCGGGACTTCCCCCTTATCCACAGCAATAGCAGGCAAGTCAGCCGCAGGTCTTGAGGGCCGCACAGGCAGACGTGACGCCGTGTCCATTAAAAGCCTGGGGAAACAGGTGCAGCCAATAGCTGCATTTGCAACAGCGACAAGGACACCAGCGTCCACAGCCGTAGGAAAGGATGAGCCCGTGCCGTGGGAGATGTATGACAACCCTTCGACAACAGCACGCACACATGCGTCTGCGACGACCTCGTGGGGGACGTCGCTCGTGGCACATGTGGGTGGGAGAGACCGACACGACGCGGCTGTGGTTGGCCGGGGCGATGGGGACGACGACAGTGACAAAGAAGATCCACTTGCTTTTCTTGAGAGGGCCCCATCTTTGGCAGCGCCGGTTGTTGAGCAGAGTCAGGCCACAAAGCCCGTCGGGGCTGACGCCGCCTCCTCTCCGCAGAGGCATATGGAGGACGAAGGGGCGAGAGGACAGGCAGAAAGACGTGATTTACTTTCGTCGCTGGACGCCGTTGGAATGGAGCTTGATCAGATTTATAGCACGTTAGATAGGCTGCAAATACAGGCGGACACGGAGCTAACGGGATTAGAGACGACGATCATAGAGAAACAGACAGAACTTGCCATTGGAGAGGACCGCATTGCCAGCGAGCGACGTCAATACGAATCTTACCACCAACGGCGTCTGAAGGATATAACGGATCGCACCACAGAGTTGCTGCAACGGCAGGTGGAGGAGGTGACATCAATGGAGAAGGAGCAGTATGAGGCCCAGTTACGTGCTCTCACGGCGGAAATGGCGGATGTCAAGAATAGAATAGATCAGTGCTTCAGCAGCGAGAGTTACTGCTACAGCAA